ATCCAGAATGCTGCCGATGAGACCAACTTCCAAGAAAATCTTTGTCGGTTGGACGAGTGGTCCCGCAGATGGCTCTTGTCCTTCAATTTGAACAAATGCACCATTCTGCGCCTCGGAAATCAGAGCCCTAGTACGCGGCAATACCATCTGAACGGAATGCCACTCCGAGAAGCAGAAACTCAGAAAGATCTCGGAGTTTGGGTTGCAGACAGCCTAAAGCCTTCTACACAATGCTGTAAGGCGGCCAAGGCCGCAACTTCAATGCTATATGCCATCAAGCGGGCATTCGTAGTTTTCGATGAAGACTGCTTCACCAAAGTCTTCGGCACGTTTATAAGGCCCCATCTCGAATATGCAATTCAGGCCTGGAGACCGTGGACGCACCAGGATTACGATCTGCTCGAAAGGGTGCAGAGGCGAGCCACAAAATTAGTAAGAGGTCAAAGTGCACTGCCATACGAGATCCGCTTAACTAACCTTAATCTCTATCCTCTGAGTTATAGGCAGTTGCGCGGAGACATGATACAAACTTTCCGTATCGTGCGCGGCTTGGATTGTGCCCTTCGGTGCGATGACTTTTTCCAACTCGCCACAACAACTCACCTCCGGGGACATCCCTTCAAGCTACGTGTGCCCCAGGGTAGACTGAATGGGAGAAAATATTTCTTCTCCAACCGTGTCGTGGAACCGTGGAATAACCTGCCCGAGATGGTTGTTATGTCTCAATCTGTGGAGACATTTAAATGTCGCCTTGACAGATATATGCTGCAGCAACAAGCGGACTATGTGACTTTTTAACCATGTGACTAGTGACATATGTGAATCAATGTATGCATTCACTTAATGCTGTAATTTCTTCACATTTTTGCTTGTTTATCGATTTTTTATGTACAAATAGGGAGTTAAAAGGCGTAAGCCTATTTCCCTCAAATACACTGACTGACTGACTGACTGACATACCTGGGTCATCCAGTCTACTGTTGCCCTCTTGTTCTGGCAACTACCCCGAGCGCACTACAGAGCACGTATCTGAATGCGAAGACATAAACCCGTGGGTAGAGGTGAGAGGGAAACGCCATGACAGGATTCTGAAGTCACAGCCAGCCCTGATGGGTTGCTGGGGACAGTCGGTAGACAGTAAAATTGTGCGTCCAAGCGATGACTCCGTAAATCGTCCTCGCCCACATGCAGCGCATTCACTGTAAAGACAGAGTAAGGAGGACCATGCTCGCCAGCAGTGTCTGGTTATTCAGGGTTTGTCAGAATCGAATGCAGTAAGACCTGAAGACCGTGTCTCAGGGGACCTTGCTTCTTTTCATGGTCTGCTAAATCATTTACTGCCGGCAGACATGGAAATAAAGGTTCTGAAAGCATTCCGGATAGGAAAAAGGAGTGAAGACAGGACAATAGCACAACCACCTCGCCCTCTCAAAATTATGCTGGAGAACAAAGAGCAAACCAAGTTTATCCTCTCTAAAATAACCGATCTCAGAAACACACACAAGCAGGTTTTTTTTCAACCGGATTATTCACCAGCGGAACGGTTGAAACGCGGGGAACTTGTCTTGCAGTTAAAATCAAGACTGAAGGATGGCGAACACAACCTGGCTATCTTCAAGGGGAAGGTAGTTCGGAAATATATGCCGTTTCAGTGGAACCAGCCTGTAATACTACGAACGACGACAGCTACTCAACTAAAACAGACACCTTCGTTGAACCACCTGATCAAGGCGCCAACACAAGTGAACACAAGTGAAATGCCAACATGGGTTCCGAGCAGGAAGATCCTGCACGACAAACCTGCTGCAATCTCTCCAGAGCTGGACCCGAGCTCTCGACGACAGGCACGCGGTCCACATAGCCTTCATCGACTTCCAGAAGGCTTTCGACACTGTGCCACACCAAAGACTCTTACATAAGCTGAAAAAAATAGGGATCGGTGGCGACTTCCTTAAATGGATCGAAAACTTCCTTGTGGGTCGACACCAGGTTGTGTGCGTCGGTCGGGGAAAATCAGATCCGGCTATGGTCGATAGTGGTGTCCCCCAGGGTTCAGTGCTAGGACCCATTTTGTTCCTTATCTACGTGGACGATGCCGCAAGAGAATTAGACTGTGAAGTAGCAATGTTTGCGGATGACATGAAGATATGGAGTGTAATTCGGGGTCCTGCCGACGAAGACAGACTGCAGATGAACCTGAATCGGTTGGAGGAGTGGTCAAACCGTTGGCTCCTGCGGTTCAACATTGACAAATGTAGCATACATCGCCTAGGCAACACAGCCAAATCTGCCAGCACAAGAGGCTACTTTCTGGGCGGTGCAGCCCTACAAGAGGTCGAAGCCCAAAAGGACCTCGGTGTGCTTACGATGAGTTCCCTAAAACCATCCGCCCACTGTTCGAGGGTGGCAAAAAGCGCAATGTCCGTACTGTACGCCATCAAGCGTGCGTTTATGGACTTTGACGAAGATGCTTTCTCTAAGACATTCGGAACATTCGTCCGGCCGCATTTAGAGTACGGCATACAAGCTTGGAGGCCGTGGGCTGTTGTGGATCAAAACTGCCTCGAAAGAGTCCAGAGGAGAGCCACGAAGATGGTTAGGGGTCAAAGCTCCTTTCCTTATGCAACTCTTTCCTTTGGGTTACAGGCAACTTCGCGGAGATCTCTTGCAGGCCTTCCGCATTGTAAAGGGGTTGGATTGCAGTCTGGCCTTCGAGGACTTTTTTGAATTTGCTACCACGACCAACCTCCGAGGTCACCCGTTAAAACTGCGCACTCAGCAGGCACGGCGGGATGTGCGGAAGTTCTCCTTCTCGGTTCGGGTTGTCAAACCATGGAATGAGCTTCCCGCAGATGTTGTGATGTCACCATCTATACAAAGTTTTAAGAAGAATCTGGACACATTTATGTTCCGAAATGACCAAGAGCGATGAGAAGTCGAGCTCACCCCCTGTAACTCCTTCTCATTTTGTCCCACCATTATGGGCGTGTTCGAAGTATTTCAGCCCAGAACATCTATCTGTACACCACAAATTTTTTACGTTGCAAATAGGGTACTCAAAGGCTTACGCCTATTTCCCTCAATAAACTGAACTAAACTGAACTGAGGAAATATTTTTAACCTTTCCAGGTGTCTCTCATAAGGTGAGATACTTAATCCGCCGACCAGCTTCGTCGTTCTTCGTTGTACGTTCTCCGGTAGGGTGTAATCTTGATTCGTCCAGGGGCACCATGCCTGAACACAATATTCTAACATTGGTCGAACAGATTGTCCAAGTTCTCGGCCGTAATTTTCTTCATCAAAATTGAGGAACGATCTTCTAATCGCGCCTAGGATACCCATAGCTTTCTTCGGTACCTTGACGCAATGAGATCATGGTTTGATAGTTGACGTCCTCCACACACCGACGTCTCTTAACTAGTTGACTGATTCGAGTTGGTGACCTCCTATAAAGTACTGAGATTCAAATCTCAACGGCCTCCTGTTGCTCGAACGTAATCGGATAAGTTGACATTTGTTACGATTGAGGCGAAGACACCACTCATCATGCGATTGTTGCAAGCGATTCAGATTGTCTTATAACAGATTGCCTTTCGGATTCTTTATTGATTTCCACAATTTGAGATCATGTGTAAACATAATGCGCTCACAGTTCAGGCAGTCCAGGCAGTCATTCACATATATTAAGAACAGAATTTGACGCAAAACGCTCCCCTTCGAAACGTCACTATGCACGGACGCCCATTCCGATTTAGCGTTTCCGATACACACACGCTGAGATCTGCCCGTAAGAAAATCGGCTAACCATTTCCATTTACACCCACTTGACGTAGCTTAAATATAAGTTGTCTGTGTGGAACACTGTCAAAAGCCTTTCTGAAGTCAATGTTCACAACGTCGACTGATAAGCCCACGCCGATTGATTTCTCCAGCCCTCCATGGATAGTAGCATTTTAGTGAGGCAGGGTCGACCCCTTAGAAATTCATTCTGATGCAAACTGAGCAAGGAGTTTTCTTCAAGATGCCGCATCGGCTCCGTTTTTATCCCCTTCCCCATCATTTTCACCGATATTATCTACAACTGACTGTTCTCGAGTTTCGGTCCTGCATTTCCAAGGAAAAATACTCCGTTATGTGTATATATTACTGACAAAATTTTGGTGCCATGTTTATTTAAAGTTAGATATTGCATGTACCGTTTTCAATAGGGTTTTCAAAGGCATTGCCTATTACCCTTAAAATATACTGATCAAGGTACTTGTGAGATACACTGGTCTAAAAGTATTTGGGGCTGTTCTCTCACCATCCTTATGTATGTGGTCTATATTTGCATTCTTGCAATCATTAGGCAGAGCCTCGGTTTCCATCGAAATGTTGAAGATCCTGGATAACGGAGAGGCCAGTCGGTCCGGAAGATCATTCAGGACTTTTGCGAACACGCCGTCCGGAAAAAGGGATTTAGTAGGCAGTAGTTGACTGAAAGTTTTCCTTACCATGTCTGTTGTGAAGTCCGCCGTGCTAACTGTACCTTTTGATTTGACATTTGGAGAGTAAACTCTTTCATCAAAAGCTGGCTCCTCGGTATAAACAGACGTGAACAAATCGGATAACAGGTTCGCCTTGTCCGAATTATTGTCTTATTTAGGTATCCAAAGGATTTTGGAATTTCGCGGGATACTTTTCAGTATTTTCGACTCAAATCCTGTTGGTTCCCTCCTCAGCAGACTCCGGCATATGTTTCTCTGCTTTTTGAAATTAGTAAAATGTTCTGGTTGTTGACATCTGGCGTACTTTTTCCAACATCTCCTTTTCCATGTAAGGTTCTTTTTTATTTCTGACGTCTACCACTCTAGTCGCAAAGCGTGCGGTTTCCTCTTAAGTGGACAACTGCTTTCTACCAAGTGCTGCATTACGTTCTTGAAAATGAGCCAGTCGTTTTCTGGGTCAGGTGCTTGCGCAGCATTCCAGTTCGCCTTCTATAGCAGATTTTTTATACTGGGATAATCCCCTTCCTTACATTTCTTTTTTGGAAACTCGAATTTCGGGTGCAGATAAATGACTATACTCTCAAACAAGAACGCAATGGTCCCTTCAGCCAAAGGGCGTGTGTGAGTCCAATCCGAGAATGCAAATATCCTCCCTAGTGATGATGAGATCCAAACAAATTGGCTGCTGTCGGTCTCGGAATCAGGTGTTTATTTTAACGTGGTGAGTAAGGAACTCGTCGGTGATCATTTGAATAAAGTTACGCTCGAAGGAGTTTTCCAAACGCATACAATGCATTACAGCCCATTGGATGTCTGGAGAGTTGAAATCGACAAGTGGCATAATGTGTTTGCTTCGACAAATTTCTTATGTCACGGTGTTGAGTGTATCATCCGCATCCGTTCGCTGTTCCGACGGTCCGTGTACCAGGGTCATATGGAGGCATGGATGTTTCGACACTTTCAAATGTCAACTGAGTATTTCACAGCCAATTTACCTAAATGGGGAAGGCTCAACTCTGACGTAGTCGATGCCATCTCATATAAATATCGCGATTTCCCCACCCATTTGTTTTTTCGTCCAATTCGGAGAAGTTGAAAGCCAGCTGACATAACTTCCGCGTCATTTATCTGCTAATTTTGGCATGTTTCCGTTGGAGCCATCAGGTCAGATTTAAAATGGGCCACGATCAGTTTTATTTCATCCAATTTTTTGAATAAACGCAGCACATTTGTGCAAATCATTTTTATATTATTCGGTTGTTTAGATCTCCTTAAATTATTTGCTTGTGCTTTCGACTGATGGTTACAACTGGATATTTCGCATGGCATACCAAGTCTACTAATCGATTTTGAACTGACTGAAGTTTGTTGGAACTGAACCCTGATGCTTTTACTGTCAATTTCACCGGGTGTTTCCCCAAACAGAAGGCTCTATTTTTACAAGTTGGTTGTTTAGTATTTTCAGTTTCACTTCGTCCTCGCTTGGACGTTTTCCCAGTTCCGTTACCAGCGTTCTCATTTTTATCCGTTCGATTGGATGATAGTCCAGCTGAAAAATATTCCATGATGGTTGCTTCGAAGTCTAGACTTTCGCGACAAGATGAGATCTGCTTGCTGTTCGTTTCCCACTACGACATTTAGCGGACACGGCCGCACTTCCTCTATGTTGTTTCTAAATAAAGGCCCCAAACAGGAGATATTTTGGGTCTTGACTACCTCACCGGGTTCTTAGGTGTCATTCAGTATGTTCTGGAATGTCAGCAGATCGCGCTTTATCCTATCTTTCGAGGTGTCACCAGGAGCTTCAGGAACTTCTTGTACTACCACACAACCTGATCTCTCGGGGAAAAAACAAGTGGTTGCATGCTGCCCTCTTTTGCTGGCGGTAGATTGAGCCTCAGACTCTGAGACTGCCTTTATGACTGTTTCCAGGTCATTTGCTAAGTTGCTCATGTCCGTGATATATGCTGCAACGTCTTTATTTGGCTGCCTCACATGACTTCTTGCATTATAGCTTGGTATACAAGTGAAAGGCAAGCTGCTAGCGTTCTTTTGTGGCGTAGGTAAGTCCATAGGATTACTGCCCAGAGTTTTTGGAGTTGTCGATCGCTGTTTTATTTCGATGCAGACGGACTCTGTATGATCCAGATTTGCCAAAGTTAGGGAAATGCGAGAGCTGGTTCCAGCTTCGTCTATCTTATTTTATTTCCCTCCATTTTTATTGAGTCAGAAGATTTGTCTAACGACTTCGGTAGTTGCCTCGTGATTCGCTGAAAAATCGCAATTACTTTCACGGAAATGAACCGACGACATTTAACGGTACGTGTCAGAAGAAAAAATAAAAAGCCCTCACGATGACTTTTACTTTGGGTGTGGTCAAGATGTTTTAAAGAAGTGCGCGGGTTAAAGGCAGGATTGTTTACGAGCTCAAAAGCACAAGTCGTCCCTTTTGTGATCGACGAAATCACAAGAAATTGAGGCCTGTAAGCTCGCAACGTTATTGGTAAGACAGATTCTGTCGTTCCGAAATTAAAACTCTTTTGGTGAAAAAATTTTGGACGGATTCTATTTTCTCCCGCTCAGCAGCACGCATGAGGCTAAATAATAACGATTAGTATACCAGGCCAGGTCTAACGTGCATTTTGTAAAGGCGCATTCCATGTCGTTGGCTTTGAAATTTCGGAGGATTAACACGGCCCCTAGGAGGATCTTGCCAAAGTCGAGAGAACATTTAAATTAAGTTAAAAATCTTCGCCTAGGATATAATCCCAAGTTATATCTGGGGACACAATGAAATGGTAGAAAAAGCTAAATCCTGTAAAGGCCGAGAGAAAACTGCATCGGACCAGTTTGACTGCAACTAGTGCCATTTGCCGAATGCAGGGCAATATTTGGCTTGTCACTATATTTAATCTTCGTTTGGAACTCTGAAAACGGCTGCTCACGTACCAAAGAAAAACCAGTGTCGGATTCCACTAGGCATAAGAGACTTGTATTGCCTAAAACACATTTAATAATAGGGAAAGGATTTTATTATACCACTGGTCTCGACACAGCAAGCAATTATAAGTTTTCAAGTAAATTTTGGAGCAGTTAGACAGATCCTGTACACTATTCAGTTATCGGTTTTAGAATGAACAGTTACACATTATTGATTTCCGGAAGCCGTTCGACAGTGTCCCGCATCAGCGTCTCCTGCACAAGTTGAGAATAATGGGCATCGTCGGCAAACTTCTCAAATGGATCGAGAACTTCCTCGTCGGCCGTTCCCAAATTGTCTGCGTAGAAAGACAGCAATCAAGGCGGACATTCATAGGGAGTGGAGTCCCACTAGGCTCGGTGCTCGGACCAACCCTCTTTCTCTTTTTCATCAATAATTGTGTAGATGGTTTGGACTGTCATAGTGCCATGTTTGCGGATGACATAAAAATGTGGAAAGTCATCC